ACCCACACACCCACGCACCCACGCACCCATGCACGCACGCGCACGCACGCACTCTGTGCGGAAGTCCGAATGGAGTTGCTAACTGTCGCAGGTTGCGTTGTGCCCACCATCTCGCCCGTGCCATTTATTGGAGGAATGGACGGATGCCTTCGCAGTTTGGCATGAGTTGCTTTTGCATCGCTACCAGTAGTACCTGCAACATCTGTTTCTTGCGTAAGTCGTCTGTCGCTCTGACTGGGCCTCTTGGAACAACTTGCCGTCCAATCGGACTCCTTCGTCGATGTTGTGCCTCACGGCCTGTCTGTTGTCTTGCGGATCATGTCTTGGGTGCTACGAGCAGTTGAAACCTTGTATAGGAAAGATGCTGCCATCATCTCGGTTGGTTGGCCACCGGCATAGAAGCCAAATTTCCTGACACAGGGACAAGGAATCGACAAAGAGAGAGCAGTTGCGAATGGTTCAACTGATATGATAGTCAACGAATAGATGCACCTACAGGTTGGATCATCTTCGCCACAAACCTGAACACACGCGCATGGCCGGACTTCATATCATGACTTCCAGTGGCTCTGACTTGCGGCTTCAAGCAGACAAAGCAACTTAGTTTGCAGCATCTGGGAAAACGGAATTGGCTATGCGTGCCTAAGGCCGTCACTGCGCTCAGTCCTGACAGCGTTGGCTGAGTGTTTTGAGGCCACAACCAAGTGGGGCGACTTGCCCATGTCATCGCCTTGGCCACCCGCCCAGACCTTGGTTTCTTGAATTCGGTGCCCGTTGACCCAACCACCTGTTCTTAGGTCTGGCCAGCACGTAGTCTGCAAGGTGCCGCCTCTGCAAGACGTTTCTTTGCCAATTACTGTAACAACAAGACCACCCGCTAAGGATGGTGCATGATGTTGTGAGCCTTCTTTTCCGGGTTCGTCAACGTTCCTTGGTCTCAGGCCATGGTTTGGGGACTTCAGGGCAGGGGAAGCCAAGGTCTCCAGCGGCCAAGTGTAGCGATGTGTTCGTGATTCCAAGTATTGCCATCTGCAATAGAGGTTCGGTTTCCTGAGGTCGTAGATGACATTCGATCTGACTGGTCGTTCAGCTACCTCATTTCATCCCATCGGGGCGGGAACCTATGCCGGTGATTTGGTAGCCGTAGTCCCACCATGCCATGACCCGGGCATCCGATGGCGTGTTAGCCTCCAGGCAAACATCACGTTTTGTACCTGGCGCAAGAAAAGCACTGCTTGTGAGACGCGCGCCTTCAACCACTTGTATCCATCAAGGTAGTCCGTAATGAGCCCCTCCGGTCGAATCAGCGGGCAACAGACACATTGCAGCACAACTCAACTGTGACCTGGCGGCTCTTGAAGACGATGGACGGATGCCCCATGTGCTGGCAACACGCTGGCAAATTGCGAAATTGTGCGAAGGCAGGCCCTAATCTTCCGAGAAGCTCCGTTTGGGGA